AGTCACTGAATCAATCCATCTCATAGAGGGTCTTCCCCTCCTGCGCTGTCCCTCCACCCTCCCAAGCATGATGTCCCTCTCCAAGGACCTGTCCCCTCCTTACATGTCCAAAGAATGTTAGAGCCTCAGAATCCTTGCCTCCAAGGAGCAGCCCCGTTTAACCCTCTCCTGGATGAATCTGTTTTCCTAGCAGTCCATGGTACCCTCAATACACATTTAAAATAGATGCTGAAAGTGCTCTGTGTAAGTATACAAAAAACCCAAAACTTGTCCAAAATCTTGATATCCTAACTTGCTTCAGAAAATATTTCAGGTGGCTTTCAGGAAAGAAGAAAGGTTGCTGTGTGGTGCAAGCAGTTTGTGCTGGATATTAATCAAAAGACGTGATCCCCCTTCCCCCATGCACTGGCCCCGTGGAAGAAAGGGCTGGCCACCTTGTGTAGCGATTACAGCCAAGAAAAGGCTGGGTTCTCTGATCGGTAACACGGGGGCTCCCCATGAGTTTTAATCAACTGAAGGACAACACGTTTGGCTTGCAGAAAATAGGGTGAACCAGAAGTCCGTACCAAGAGCAAATCAGTAGAATGTCAATGCCAAGAAGAAGAAACTCAAGTACAAGTCATGGTGAGGCCCGCCAGAAAGGCTCTGCGAAGTCCTTACGTTGGCTTTGAGCCGCAGCCAGAGAGCGAAGAGGGAAAACGCGATCCACCTCTACGTGGGGCTGGGAACGAGCAGGGAGTTTAGCCCTCTCCTGCAGCCCTGCCGAGCTATTCATGCTGCTGATCACAAACCCCCTCCCGTAGGAAACTGAACGTTAATGGCTTTCCAAAGGTCCGGGGGGTGTCATGGCGGGCTGGCCCCTCCCAGGGACGGAAAAGAGACTCCTCAGGGGTGGTCGTCGGGAAGTGTGCGTCTGCAGCCTGCGGGGCCCAGCTTAGAGTTCTAAGGCCATGCGTGCAGAACAGTCGGACTTTACATAACAAGTTCTCTTCTAAAAAAAAAATAATCTAGGGGAGCTCTGGTGGCCTAGTGGCAAGGAGCTGCAACTACAATCCCAGAGGCGCACGGTTAGAATCCACCAGATGCTCTGCCGGGGAAAGAGGGGCAGTCTCTTCCTGTACCAGTCAGATCTGATTTGACGGTACACTCACACAAAAATAATAAAATAAATTTAAAAAAAAATCTAGAATTGAGATGAAAAAGGGAGGAGCTTCTCCAAGTGAAAAACGGGCGTTGTGCCCAGGTCTTGCCACGAGGGGGAGACATATCCCCGCGTTTTGGCCCCTGAGCGCCGTGCTCGATCGTCCAGACTTAGAGGCTGACTGCGACTTAGGTTCCCTTACAGGGACCCTCACCGCCCTCTCCCTCGACTCCCGCGACACGGAGGCCTTCCTGGAGACCTGTGTGGGCTTGACCAGGTCCGTTAGCAACGGGGTGCTCCACTGGGTGCTTCTGAGCAGACAGAAGAGGGGTTGAAGACAATCCAGCCCCCTCAAGAGCTGATGATGGTCACTCAGGGGTGCAGCTGCAGTGGGCGTTCTGAACCCAGACCTCAGACACTTGGCGTCAGGTTCACAGCTGCCCCCAGCTCCATGGTGGGCACCTCTCTGAGCTTTCTCATCGATGCACAGCACAGGAGCACCTGGCACGCATCCGTGGACATGAAGCCCCCAGTGACCTGGCGGACTTAGAGGGTCTCAGTGGCTCCCAGGCTTCAGGTGCTTATAGGATTCACCTGGAGAACTTCTCAAACCTTAGTCTGCGTCCCACCTCCGAGATGCTGACTGGCCTGGAATATGGCCTGGGTTTCAGGATTTTTTTTTAGCCTCCAAAGTGATTCTCGGATGCCAAAGTTGTGAACCCCAGCCCCCATGCCTGATGGGGGGAAGGGTTCTTATGACTGTCCGACTGGGAAGTAGCCGGAGAACAAGATGACAGGACCCCAGGGTTGAGAGACTGCAAGGAAAAGCAGCTGTCACAGCAGGAGTCAATCAGGAAGGGCTTCTGGGAGGTGGCATGGTGACAGCTGTGGGACAGGATCGGAGAAGAGTTGTGGGAAAAGCTAAGGGGGCAGGGTCCTTAGAAGGGGACTAACAAACTAG